GAGAGATCATTTGCTAAATGTCAAGGAACAAATAGCAAAATTGTCAGTGCGTAGACAGTGCAATCAGGATGTAATGCAGTTTTTGTCATTGTGGCTCATTCCAGCACATTAGATTTGAAATGAAACAGGTCTTATAATGTTAAAGTGCAGAATGATTAATTTGAGGGTATTTACATCTGTATTTCGTGGGTTAAAGGAATCACAGATGGTTTGAAGTGTTTTACATGTTTAGCAGGTCAACATGTAGGCATAAATGTGTTAAAAGCTCTGTTACAAATCCCAGTTACAGTGGATTTCAACTTGCCGGCCGTGGTGGTACTGCTAGGCAGGGGCTACCTGGCAGTCATTTTTTTTACATTTGAAATTTAAACAATTGACCAAATTTTATTGTGATAATTATTTGCAAAATTAAACCTTCATATTTAAGTCAAACTCACTGATTTATCTGCCAAAATGCAGGACTGACAGTCATATGCCAAATTCAAATGACATATTTTGTTGATTGTTGATTTTGTTGAGTAAAAAAAAAGTACTAAAATATGCAAATTTTAGTGCACATTGGAAAAAAATAAAACAAAAAATATCAAATTTGCCATAGCTTCTAACAGGCCACATTGTATGTTTATATTTTTCCAATGTATTAAATTCAGCAAACAGCAATTGTGCATTATAGCATGTACAAATGTTCTCTGTAGAGGATGTGTTAACTTATTTTCACTTTGAAAATCAACAAAACATAATTTTACAATTTTGATCATATGGAATTCATTATCCTGGACAAATGGCCGCAAACATGCTGTTTATTATGTGTTGTGATTGTACAGTCAAGCAAAATTCGACAGGTTACACTGACTATTGTGATATATTGTGATTGGGATGGTCAACTCCTATTTTTGGCTTTTGTGTGGTCAGTTGTGTCGGTCATGAATTGCAAAAGGTTGGGAAAACTCTCACATCCAGATAGCAATAATGGTACTGCAGGATGTGTAAGTTTCTAGTGGGTTGTATTTTCTACAAACCCAGATATTGGCATCACACATGGTCATATTACCGCATACTGTTCGAGTTTGCTATATAAACACTATTTCAAAGCATAACCTTCCATCCCTACTCTATGGTCCATGCATGGAAAGTAATCTATAAAAAATTAGCCTATTTTAAATGCAAAAACAAATGTGTTTACATAGATCCGCCTATTCAGAACACAATGGTTTAGTCCCGCCCATTCACACTGAAGTTAAAGAGTGTGTTTTAGGCCAGACTAATTGAACAAGGCATAACTTAAGGCAGTGGATCAGAACAGAGGACATTTATATATGTCAGTTTTAAAGGCACAGAACCTAAAACAGCCTGTTTAAATCTAATGGAATGAATTATGATTGTTTTTGGTACATAAAACTAGGTAGTAAGTGGACTTCAGAGGGAAAAAAACATGGTGCAGTGTGGCTTATGTGCATTCATGATTTGTGAGTCTAATGATGTGAGGAAAGAAACTTTTTCGTACTCTTGTTCTTCTGACTTTGAGATAGAAAGTTTCTAAAATAAACAAATAAATAAATAACATAGAAAACATTCCAGGTTGCAGGATGAATGTCAGGACTTCTCAAACGTCTGTCAGGAACAAGATAAGGTTGAAGTTGAAGTTCAGCCACTGTTTTGTCTCTGTGGGCTGGCTGTGCAGATTCAGTCTGACATTTTTCCATCTGCCTGCGTCTTAACCCTCACCTGCACTTCCCGTATCCAGCCTGTGTTTAAAGCGGGAGACGTTTGAGGAAGGAGAAGTCATTTATCCTTTATCCATCTGGCAGCCGGTAAGCCTGCGAGTGCCAGATGCAGTGGGACAAGCTCCCTGCTCCATGTAAGATAAAGTGCCCACCTTTCTCCCCTCATTCTGAAGCTGGCTTTGATGTACTCCGACTTCTCCTACCTCTCCTTCTGCACCCTCACTCTCGCATCATCCTTCCTCGCTTGTTCCTCGCCTTTTCTACTCTGACCTTATTTCACCTGACCTTTAGCCCATTCTCTGATGCTATCTCTCTCTCGCTCGCTCGCTCCTTTACTCTCTCTCTCGACCTCTCACTCTTCTTTCTCTTATTGCGCTCTCTCTCTCTTTCCCACTCTATAATAATCTTCCTTCACTCATTCTTTCTCTCTCTTTCTTTCTCTATCAGTCACGCTGTCTTTCTGTATCACCCTCTCTGTTTCTCTCATTTCTTTATCTTTTTCTCACTTGTTCTTTCTGGCTCTTTCCCCCCTCACTCTGTCCTTCATTGTCTTTTGCTCTCTCCCTCTTTCTCTCTCTTCTTCCTCTGATTCTTTCTCTTTTTCACTCTCTTAATCTTTCTTTCTCTGTCAGTCGTTCTATCTTTCTGTCTTTCCTTCTTTCTGTTTCTCTCGTTCTCTTTCTTCTCTCTTTCTTTGTCTCTTTTCATCTCTCTCTCTGTCCTGCACTCTCTCATTCTTGCTGTACTCTTTCTCTGTCTCTATCTCTCTCACCCTCTCACTTTCTTTCTTTCTTTCTTTCTTTCTTTCTTTCTCTTGATCTACTCTCTCTTTCTCTTTCTCTCTCTCACCCTGTCTCACTCGCTTGCTTGCTCTCTCCCTCTTTCTCACCCTCTCTTTCTCTCTCTATATATATCTCTGTCTTTCTTTCTTTCTCTTGATCAACTCTCTCTTTCTCTATCTCTCTCTCACCCTCTCTTACTCGCTTGCTTGCTCTCTTCCTCTTTCTCACTCTCTCTCTCTCTCTCTCTCTCTCTATCTTACTCTCTCTCTTTCTTTCTTTCTTTCTTTCTTTCTTTCTTTCTTTCTCTTGATCTACTTTCTCTTTCTTTATCTCTCTCTCACCCTCTCTTGCTTGCTCTCTCCCTTTCCCACCCCCTCTTTCTCTCTTTCTCTCTCTCAACCCTTTTTTGCTCTCTTGATCTACTCTCTCTTTCTCTCGATCTCTCTCTTACCCTCTCTCACTGTTGCTTGCCTCACTGTTGCTTGCCTTTGTTCTCTCGCCCCCTCTCTTTCTTTCCTCCCCTCTTTCTCCCTCTCACCCGCTCTTCCTTTCGTTCTTCCTCTCTCTCTCTCTCTCCCTCCCCCTCTCTCTTTCTCTCTCTCTCTCTCTCTCTCTCTCCCTCAGGTATGGAGTGATAAATCTTGACTGCAGCTCCTCCTCTCACTCATAACGCTCCGCTCAGTGTGTGTCCTTCTCCCGAAAGCTTATCGTCTCTCAGGCTTGTGACACATGAATGCTAACAGAGAACGAACAGATTAGTCAAGCTGGAGTGGCTGCAGTCAGACCAATATTGGATAAGGAAGATTCTTTCTTTATCTGCCTCCTGCATCCATTGCCATTGCACTCACCTCTATGAGTTTCATTTAAAATGAAATTACAGTAATGAATTCATCTGTAAATGGCTCTGTGGGGTTGACTGAGCTATAGAATGACTTTTCTCAATGAGGTCTATGTAGCTGTTATAGATGCCTGTGAATATTCTTGATTCTTCTAAAGGAAGTCATTACATTTCTCTGAAGAAACCCTATGGGTCTAAACATCCTGTTGATGCTAACATAAATAGCTCACCAGCAAAAGGTGAGGGTGAAGGCTGGACTGAGGGTGGACCAAATTTGCAAAAACATTACATCTGTATACTTGACATCGTCACAGTACATGCCATTTAGTTTTCTATGGCTAGGCCAGTCACAGTAATGAAATTGTAGCTGATGATAAATTACCATATATATTGTTGTGAATAACAATTGTATTTTTTTAATTGTATGCTATTTAAGTACAAGCCTAAAGTGGCCAAAATGGCTGATCTGCAATCTTGCTTGCAGTTGTCAATACTTACTTGCTCCACAGAAACAGCTGGGGCTCAAATAAACAAACATCACTCACCGCGGCCCTCTAAAGGTGTTACAGTTCTAGTCAGAAGTTAGAACTTTTATTGTTTTCATGAGGTTTCTCAATAAATGCATTTTCTACTATTATTTGCATGAATTTGCTTCAAACAGGCTGGTCAGCTAGCTAACAGGCTAAAAGATAGCCAACATTCTAAACAACTCCATCATTAATATCGCAGGCTTGAATTAAAGTACTTACGGTATGATTAACTGTTAAACAGCAGAATAAAAGTCTAAAAATGTTGACTTGAATGACTGACACACTTTAAATCTCCGTGTTTCAGTCAGAAGTAGCGTCACACCCAAGCTGAATCCCAAACAGCTCCATACTCCCTAAATAGTGTGCTAGTTATGAACGTTTAGAAATTATAGGCTCTACAGCCAAATAGTGCATCATTTATTGAGTCTGGATGTGTCTGAGTCCTAAACGACCATTTCCTAGCTGTATTTAGCATCGTTCAGGTGCAGGATCCAGTATTTAAGTTCATACATTGTGCACTTTGTAGGAAGCAGGGAGCTATTTGAGGTTAAGCCCCAGCACAAGAAGAGGGGCGCTGCTGGATTGTAAGACTCGCAGTTGTAATTTGGTGACAAAATTACTGCTTTGCGTCGTGCCTAAGAACATCCTTCTTAAAATCGCAGCAACGCACAGCCTCTCATGGCTTATTGCTTTGTTATATACTATACACTGATTGTTGTTATTAACAGGTTATCTATAATTGGTCTAAATCTGTATATTTTATGATACTTGAAGTTGTTTAGTGTTCTAGTTCAAAGTGCTGAAGATACCTATGATATACTCAGAAAAGCATTATATGATATATTTGGCATATTTATTTCAATAATAATAACATATCATATTGCCCTCTTTACTTACCATATATTCAGAATTCCTGCTTGTTCTACTAATCAGTGTTTTTGTGGATTTTTTGTGCTCAGATGCAAGACCTTTTCTCTTCAGTTTTAATTTTGGGAGCTTTTTTATGACAATAACAATAACAAATCATTTTACCACCTCTAGTCTGAATTCCTACAGACAATGTGTAGTGGAGCTTTGCAGTGTTTTTAAATTGCCTGCTAACATCAATTATTGCATATTTCCACAGATATGGAGAAGCAGACCGAAGGCTTGGGGTCCGGCCACAAAAAGCTTTCCCACTCCTCCCCAAGTCACCCAGACAGAGAGGAGTCCAGTGACAGTGGAGAGGAGACGCAGGGGGTGAGTGATGTCCACTACCTATTCTATTTACTAGCCACTTTATTAGAAATACCCTATTGGTACACTTTGTAAGTGCACAGTTAGAGACCATAGCTCGTCTTTTTCCATACACCGTTTGTCATCCTCTAGCTCAGGGGTGTCCGAAATTATCTGCAAAAGGCCGGTGTGGCTGCAGGTTTTCATTCCAACAGAGCAAGAGCACACATGATCAGTCGTTTGACTGTGCTTCAGCTTAATTGGAATGAATACCTTGTAGATAAGATTGGATACCCCTGTTCTAGCTCTTCACCGGTGGTCAGTTTTTAACCATAGGACTACTGCGAATCATACTCAGTCTGACAGTTACACTGAGCTGTTTAAAAATCACAGCATCACTGCTGCACCTGGTACTCTCACACCAGCATCACTCCCTCTAACATGTCACAGCCATGTCCGTGTCACTGCTGTGCTGAGAATGATCCACCATCTATTTAATGTCTGGTCAGTGGTGGACCTGCGGTGGTCCATTTCTGTCAATAGGCGAGGTAGAGGGCAGCTAATAAATTGTGCTGCAAAACATGGGCCATAGTCAGTAATCCCAAACCTACAAAGTGCACCTGCAAGGTAAGAGTCTCTGATAAAATGGCCAGGAAGTGTAGCTACAAGGAACAGTACTGTGCAACAGTCAAATTTCTTGCCAAAATGGCCACTAAGTGCAAGTTATTCATTTTTAGCTCCAGGAAAAAAAGCAGAAATCATATGAAGAGTTTCATTCCAAAACACTGTATAACCATTTGTAAAAAACTTGGATATAAAAAAATTTGAAAAGAATAATATTACACAAAACAAATTTTTATTTCTCTAATAAATGTTGTTTCCTCCGGGTGCCCCAGTTTCCTCCCACATTCCAAAGACATGCAGTCAGGCCAATTGAACATACTAAATTGCCCCTAGGCGTGAGTGTGTAAGTGATTGTATATGTCTGTCTGTCCTGTGATGGACTGGTGACCTGTCCAGGGTGTTTCCTGCCTTCCACCCAATGACTGCTGGGATAGGCTCCAGCTCCCCGCACAACCCAGAAGCATAAGTGGCTTAGATAATGTGTGTGTGTATGTGTGTGTGATTTATAGCATTAATATTTCTTATATGTGTAAAGTCCACACCCAACAAATTAAAATTTTTGAAAATGCTCTCTAATATATCATGTAAGGAAACCCTAAATATATTTAACAGAAATTTAAACAAAAGCTTAGACAACCAAATATGATTTTTTCAAACTATTTAATTTTGTTCACTCTGCATTTATTACATCCTCCATTCTGTTCAGGAAACTTGCTTTCAGTTTTTCAAAGAAAACTGCAGAAACATTTTTCCACATCTCCGAAGTTCAGTCTTAGAAGTACTTTCTGCTTCTCACAATCCAAGTAATCCCAAACTCATTCAATGATCTAAGCTGTGGAGTGGTCAGTCTGTTGTTCTGAGAGCACCAGCAGCTTCTTTGTTTGATTTCCTTTTCTCAGTGAGGCTTCTTGACAACTATATACCCTTTCAGACTCATAGCACTGAGTTGTCTTCTCACAGTGGAAGGATAGACAGAAACACCTGTGGATGTTTTCAGATCTGAAACAGTTTGATTTTCTCCTCTCTCTCAAAGATGAAAGCGTGAAGCTCTGTTTATCTAATGGGGACAATGTTGATGGTCTAACAGGTCTTGCATGGTTGTTTGTGTCACTTTCTGTTTCACTGAAAAACGAATATCTTGTACTTAATGGCCAATTTGACTGGATATTAAATTAACAAAAAGCTGGTCATGGACTTTTGCATAGTGCTGTAGGTTTAACATGTATAAAAACCCAGTGCCCATCTTTGCTTATTTAACATCTTGACTTCTCAATCCACTGACTGAAATTCTTTGTCTTGCATTCTGTTCTGGCCATTGTAGCTGTGTGCAGACATTGTTTGAGTCCTGAACCACCCTTCTTTTGCAATTAAGCCAACCTATTCTCTGAATGTCTCTTTTGCCGAGCAACTATATATTCACACAGCAGGATAGCTTTGCTTCCAATAGCCTTTTAAATACCATTTAATTCATGGTAATTTCAGGTCATCGGAGTAGTTGTCTCCTCAGTGGCTAATGTCGCTCTCTGTGGGGGTCCAGGCATGTAATAGACTTTATAGAAATGATGCACATAATCATTCACAGGACCACAGTCACTCGCTAATGCATTAATGGACAGAGCACTGTGCGTCTTTTCATTCCTGACATTCCCAGCTGTGTGTAGAAATACACAGAATGATTTGTTGAGCGTCTTGTAATGCAGAGACTCATTTAAAGGACAGCATTATTAGTCTGCCCTATCATTCCTTTTAAAGGTTAAAGATGACTCATTTGGAAGGAAGTTTGGAAATGCTTTGTTTCGTGCTGCATGCACTGTTGGCCTGCCTTCCAAAAAAGCAATGTTAAGCATTAGATTTAAAGGGCTCATAGTTTACATTTTCCTTGTATTTTTTTCTCCTGAGGTCCACTTTGTGTGGGTTTATATACCAAAAACAGGCCTCATTTATTTTTACATGGTCATTTTTCAACTTCTCTTTATGCCTCAGAATTAAAGTCTCTGTTACTATACCTTTAAAGGAATGATTCAGCAAAAAATCTAGTTTACACATTTTTCACTTACCTCAGATATAGTTGATCAGCCAAGACATGTTTGATGTTCATATTTTGCTTTTTTACTGTTACTTTTTTCACTGTACCTACAAGGCTAAAGTTGCTAAAAACCCCTAAAAGTCAATAGACACCTAAACTTTTTTTCAAAAATACTTCCCCAAAACCTCTCTCAACTCGCCTGGACCACGTTTAGGTCTTCATTATGGTCATGCAGACTTGTCAATGTGGATTTAGACACAGTATGACTTATTATAAAAATGAAAAAAACAAGTGCTGTGGTCAATGATCGTAGACAACGGTGTTGTGCTGAATTTTGACTCTCTTGCGAATTCCAGTTCCCCTTCTCATGTATGCATATCATGCAGACATATGAACACTAGACTGGATTCACAATTTCTTTTGTTTCTAATTAAGAAGTTTGAAAGTTCAAGAATCGCAGTTACTCATTTAAGAAACAACAGAAATCATGAATGAAATCACAAATGCAAGATGTCCATATGCCAGCATGACATGCGTGCACACGAAGGGAGTCGAATTCAGCATAACACCTGTTGTCTAAAGAGGCTGCCCGCAGTGTTCAGCTAGACTGCGAAGTTTTATTCATTCTTATAGTTGACAGTAAGTCATAAAACCACACCAGCAAGTCTGAGCAACAAAAGGAAAACAAAGTTTTAGGGATGTATTCACAGAAAAGATTTGGGTGACTATTGAATTAGTATTTGCTGGCATTGTTAGTCTTGTAGTTCTAGTGTTAAACCAAAGAAGCTAAATTTCAATACCAAATGTTTTGGCTGCTCAACTACATCTGGTGTAAGAAAAGAAAACTGTGCACACAAGATTTTTAGCAGAACTATTTCGTTAAAACGGATATATGTTAAGATATAAACAAAATGATAAATGATATGTAAATTACCTGCATCATACATCATTCAAAACATTCCTAACAACTTTATTGGGTAGGTAAGCTGCTGTAGGTTGGATATGTGGATACATATAGATGTGTTGTTTGTGACATCACAAAAGCAGTGAATTCAAGGCTGTTCTTGAAGCCTTATTTCTAATGATGGGGTGCATGGACTGGGGAGTAAAGAGTATGTTTTTACATTTTAACAATGTTTATGTACTTCATCAATTGTTTTTAAAAAAATGGAGGAAAATTTGTTTTTCCCAAGACATGGGTCATTTACAGACCCACACAAAGTTTACAGTGAAAAGTGTATTGGCAAAAGCTGATGCAGTGGGATGAATGTAGACAGGTCCTCATGATTTAGGAGCAGGAACGCTCACCTGTATCTGTGCCAGCATTGGGAAGAATTTAATCATGGCAGGATGTTTATGAACCCAGGAGAAAATGCTACTCAGCCTTTTCTTTAACTCCTCTTTGACACGGGGGCAGTAAATTGTGTGCCCTTTTTTCGGCACAGCATGACAGCTGCAGCCATACAAATGCTTCTCAGTGGCACCTATGCCATGATTCTGGATGATCTTTCATCTTGTAGCTCACATTCTATTCCTGCGTGCTCCACCAAGCAGCGGTACGCATATGCAAGCACTTTCTCAACTGTTTGCGTCAGCATTTGGTGACATTAACTATCATGATACATCACGATCTTACAGTACTGTGTCAGAGACCATCCTTCATATATTTAATTTACAGATAAACAGCCAATAAGTACAACTTACTAATTTTTCTGCATAAAAAGCTGAATAACAATTACACAGAAGCCTTAACAAGTAAATGCTAAAACTTTTTTTCAGTGTTCAGTGTGTCCACTCTTTACATTTATTACAGCTTCTATTCTTTTTCTTCAAAGAAATCTGCAGGGATATTTTTTCACACATCCAAAGTTCTGTCTTAGAAGTTGGTCACATTTTCTGTCTCACAATCCAAATAAACCCAGTCACATTCAATGATGTTGAGGTCTGGACTCTGGGTTGGTCAGTCAGTTGTTCTGAGAACACCAGCAGCTTTTTGTTTGACTTTCTTTATTTGGCTGTTCCTTTTAGACTCATAGCATTGAGTTGTCTCCTCACAGTGGAAGGATGGACAGAAGCACCTGTGGATTTTTCAGATCTGAAGCAAGAGTGGGGATTGAGTTTCTCTTCTCTCTCAAAGATGAAAGAACTGTTTATCTGATGGGGGCAGTTTTGGTGGTCTTGCACTGTTGTTAAGAGTCCCATTTTCTCTGTTTTTGTTATCATTTTTTGAACTAATCATTTGAAGTTTTGCAGGTGGATTTTCTTATATCTAATCTCCTCAGAAATATCGCTGAGAAATGAAAAACCTGTATTTAAAGACCATTTTGACTGGAAACTAATAAGAGGGTGCATAGTACTGTACAGTCATTGTCCA